CCAACCCTCATAATCAGTCCTGATAACAATTATTCACTACTGTATCACAAGAGACTCATCGTCATCTCCTTTCATCAGCCCCGCCCAGACAGACTGGATACTACTCAGTGGAGATTCTATCTTCTTCCACGCCCTCTGGATCTAGGTTCCCTCTTGAAAGCTTGTAAGGCAGTTACTTCTTGCCTTTGTAGCCCCCCCACTTTGGGTAGACAATGTCCAAGTTGCCCATTCCTGTCTACTCTGTGTATGGAGGGGGTGGGAATGAGAGAAACAACTTTTAAAGAGAACTGCAGATGGGCACAGAGGCCATCCATTCTTCCATATACAGGGGTCAAGGAGTCCTAGTGGTGCGACAGTTAATCAACCAGCTGAGAACTGAAAGGCTGGCAATTCAAATTCATCTAGCAACTCTACAGGAGAAAGAACTGGTGATCTGTTTCCACAAAGATCACACACAACAAAATTCTATGGGTAGTTCTATTATGTCACATGGGGTTGCTGTGAGTTTGAATTGACTCAGAAGCCATTAACAATGTGGCTCTGTGGGTTAATGTGCCGGCCTGCAAAGTCAGTGTGAACTGCAAGGTCGGCAGTTCAAGCTCACCTGTCGCTCCTCAGAAACAGGGTCACTATGGGTCGGAACCAACTTGACAGCACCTAACAACAACAACAACAACAACATGACCACCTAAAATCGATGACTAGTCAACTCAGAGCCCACTCTATGGCCTATCTCTAGACAAATCTCAGATTACTATGATTATGCTTTCAATTTATTTCTATTCATTCCCACTTTAATTTTTCATTTTTCTTATGTTCCCACTTTTAATTTGTTTTATTGTTTCATGATAAGATGTATACATACACAGTTTTAAATTCTTTCAAAAACTAAGCATAGGACATAAAAATAAGTAGATCAAGAGTTTTCTTAGATCATTTGGACTCAGATTGAAGTAGCACTCTGGATAGAACTGTACATATTTTATAATGAAAGGTTCAGGATGAACAGAGCCCAAGTGCTTTAACCATAAGAATTTAATTACTTAGACTTAATCGTGTGCAACTGGCTAGAGTTGATGAATTTTTTAGTCAAGAAATTTAGAAGGCACGCTTCCTCAGAAGGTTGGAAATAGAAATACCTTATGATCCAGCAATTCCTCTACTTGGTATTTATCCACAGGAAATACGAGCCATAACACGAGTAGATATATGCACACCAATGTTCATAGCAGCACTATTTACAATAGAAAAAGATGGAGACAGCCTAAGTGCCCACCAACTGAAGAATGGATAAACAAACTGTGGTACATACACACAATGGAATACTATGCTACCTTGAAGAAAAACAAGGAAGCTGCAAGCCAACGCATAACATAGATGAACCTTGACGACATTATGCTGAGTGAAATTAGTCAGTCACAAAAGGAGAAACACTGCCTAGGTCCATTTATTGTAAAAGTCTAAGAAAAATAATCCACCCAAAAGGAGGGAAAAAAACAAAACAAAACTATATATATAATTGCTGATTACTGGGAGGTATGGGATAAAAGGAGGGGAGGGAGGGAGGGGAAGACAGAGCATAGGGTAGGGAATAGACACAGAATAGCTTGGGTGTAGGGGAGGGGTGGAGGGCAGTCAATACACAAGAAGGGGAAGGGGAATGGAAGAACTAGGCTGATGGGAGAACAGTTAAGCAGGTTCCCATGGGCTAAGTGGGACAGAGGTAAATGAGGATGTATGCACAACCTTGGAACAAAAGGGCTCCCAGATACAGGGATTGAGGCATGATTTGAAGGGGTAAAAGAGGAGAATAATGTTAAGATGCTTGGCTATCTTTTGAATCATGGTTTCCCTTACCTACCATTGTGAAATAGACACTTGGGGATGGGAGGTTGAAAGGAATAGCCAGAGTCATCACTACAGAAAGCTTGTAAGTCCGTCTTCAGCCTATGACTGAATGGAATACCTTAAAGGGGGCTAGAAGTTGCCCAGTGAAAGAGGCTTCCTGTGGCGCCTTTACATTGCATAAGACCATAGATGGAATTCAGAACCCCATCCAGAATTGTCTGAGGTAGGAAATTTCCACTGGAAAGGACGAGTAGACCAGCCTGGATGGAGTGGCTAGAGAAACAGAAGATACTTCATGAAAGAAAGACCGGCAAGAAAAATCTGAAACAATAACGGCAGTCTGACTGAATACAAGAACAAGATAGCTGTTCGCCCCAGAGGCATCAAGGCAAGTAGTTGGGACCCCTCAGGGCAAACCCCCTTCCAAACCTGAGACTCAAGGGGAATACATGAGTAGGCATGTGGTCTGTCTTGTGACCATCTTGGTCACCGATAAGGGAAAGAGGGGGAAAAAACAGCAATGAAGTTGGGATCTAAGCCCAACCACATTCAATAGACCCCTGTGAACCTGGGTGGAGACCTCGATGGCCAGCAGTATGGCAAGACCTGGGGACTCCTGGGCCCAGAGGCAGTGACATGGCCACAGAGGACTAGAGTGGAGAGTGAAGCAGCCAACTGATGTGAAGTGAGGGGAGATGCACAAGAGCACCCATACTTACAGATAGTACCCACTTGACCTGACTTTGATGGCTGGATGATCAAAACTTGACTAGAAGAAGAAAGAAGAGGGGAAA